TGAGGAAAACTCTACTATAAGCTTGAAGTTAAATTATATATTTTGCTTATTTTTGAAAGTGCAGTAAAAGTGCTCTAAGGTGTAGATAAGATCCCAAACATGGAATTGGAGAGACAACAGAAAGCAATGCCTCAGGGCTTCCATGAGCACAGAGTGTACGCACACTGGCCCACCTGAGGTGTGTGATTGGTGTGGTCTAATGATCTGGAGACATAACCCTGGCAAAGGCAGCGGGCTCTGGCAGTAGTCTGAGTGCATCGAGTGGATGGGCGGGCGGTCGGATGGTTTGAGGTTAGCTCTCCTATGGTGGTGCTGGGAGCTGACACCGTTCTTGCAGGTACCCTATGCTGACCTTGCCAAGCCCCCTGCCCTTCCGCAGAGCTCTCCTTATTCTGAGCCCCAGTCCTTCCTCCTCCCCCGGCTTCCAGCCTCCTGGGCCTGCCCTTCTTCCCCCTCCCCTCGCCCACTCTCGTGGATGCACCTCGCGCCTGGCGCTGTCCCAGGTCGGGGACTGTGAGGAGACTTGGCCTCCTCTCCGGGCAGTGACCTGCTGGTGGAAACCCAGGGAGGAATTCCTCCTTAGGGTGGTGGCTGGTGCCGTGAAGGAAATACAGAGGGCGCTGTGGTACCAACTAAAGGGCTGAGCGGCGTAGGTGCCACTAGTCCCTCCTCCACTGGCCAGGGCCCTGGTGACGGACACAGGGGATCCTCCTCCCAGGTCTTCCTGCAGCGGTGCCACGCCTCCCTTGGGTCCCAGCCCCCCCATTACCCGCCCTCCCCCCCCCCCCCGACTCCGCCCCTGGCCTGTTCCAGCCCCGTTCTTCCGGTCCTTTCTTGCCCCTTGCGCCCAACCCTGACGCGCCCTGGTCCCCTGGACCCCGCCCAGGTGTGGCGTTCTGGGGGCTCAGGGAGCGGCTTCCTCCTGTGAGTGCAGCTGGACGGATACCAAGGGCTGGGACTCTGGGAGCGGGCTGGGCGCGGAGGGGCGGCTCCAGCCAGGCCAGGCGCCGCGCAGCGGGGAGGAAGGGGCGCCCCGGGAAGGGAGGGCGATCGGGGGATGGGGGTCGGGGGGACGGTCCCCAAACCGCTGGCCTCGCATCGGACCCCCCTCCACTCACCCATGCACCTAGGCGAGAGAGGAGCTGGGGTGAGCCTGGGGTGCCGCTACTCCAGTGCAGGGCTGGCCCCTTGGAGGCCGGGCGGTGCCTGAAGCTCTCAGGGGCACCGAGCCCATTTCCCAGTACAGCTCAGCTGCCTCCCCCGAGGCAAGCCCTTCCCAGCACGTCTCCCTCCTTCTTCCCGCGAACCCCACGCCCTGCGCTCCGGGACTCACCCCAGCGCTCTGCCCTCTCATTCCCGTCACTTGCTCGTGTTTCCTGGAACGGCCTGCCATCCATCACTCCTCCGCCCCACCCCGCCTCGCCTTTCCGGAACCCTCCCGTCAAAGTCGCCATCTGATCCCTCCAGCTCCGGCTGGGCAGGCCTGGGTGGCCCCCTCCCAAGCCGCCATTTCCACACCACCCGTAATTGCGTGCTGGTTTTTAGCATCTGACGTAGCTTCCCCATTCATTTCTCAGCCATTATCCCCCCACACCTCTGCAGCCTAGTGTCTTAGAGCCGACACTTACTCAACTCAGCCATGGCTACCCATTCCTGTCACACATGGGCTAATCCTCCCACACTGCTCACTTTCTCAGCTTCTTTTGTAAAATTAAATTTATTGGGCTGACATTGGTTAATAACATTATATAAGTTTCAATGTACAGTTCTGTAATACATAATCTGTATAGTGCACTGTGTGCTCACCCCCCAAAGTCTAGTCTTCTTCCCTCATCATATATTTGACCCCTTTACCCTTTACTACCTGCCCCCAGCCCCAGCGCTCTGGTGAGCACCATACTGTTGTCTGTGTTCATGAGTTTGTTTCTTTTGTTTGTTCTTTCGTTGCTTTCTGTTTTATATCCCACATATGACTGAAATCATATGGTTCTTGTTCTTTTCCATCTGACTTACTTGGCTTAGCATGATATTCTCAAGATCTATTCATGGTGTCACAAATAGCAGTATTTCATCTGAGTAGTACTACATTGTATAAATGAACCACATTTCTTTTTCCAATCATCCACTGAAGGACACTTACAGTGGGGCCTTGACTTACGAGTTTAATTCGTTCGGACACTGAGCTCGTTAAGGAGCTTTTACGGAGCTCGTTAACTCAAATTACTCTATCAACTCAATGCAAAAAATCAGCCGAGAGACCGCTGGTATCTCAAAAAACTCATTAGTCGGGACACTCGTAAGTCAAGGCCCCACTGTACTGTACATTGTTTCCATGTCTTGGCCACCATGACTAATACTGCAATGAACATAGGGATACATATATCTTTATGAATAAATGTTTTCAAATTTTTCGGGTGGACACCCAGAAGGAAGATTGTTGGGTCATTAAGGTAGCTCTATTCTTAATTTTTTGAGGAACTGCCATACTGTTTTCCATAGTGAATGTACCAGTTTACATTCCCACAGCAATGTATGAGGGTTCCTTTTTCTTGACATTTGTTATTTCTTGTCTTATTTTTTTTTAATTTTTTTATTAAGTTATTACATATGTGTCCTTATCCCCACGTTACCCTCTATCCCCCTCACTCATGCCCTCACCCCCCTGTTGTCTGTGTCCATTGGTTGGGCTTATATGTATGCATACAAGTCCTTTGGTTGATCTCTCCCCCTTCCCCCACCCTCCCCTGCCTTCCCTCTGAGGTTTGATGGTCTGATCGATGCTTCTCTGTCTCTGGATCTCTTTTTGTTCATCAGTTTATGTTGTTCATTATATTCCATAAATGAGTGAGATCATGTGATATTTGTCTTTCTCTGACTGGCTTATTTCACTTAGCATAATGTTCTCCAGATCCATCCATGCTGCTGCAAATGGTAAGAATTCCTTCTTTTTTACCACAGCGTAGTATTCCATTGTGTAGATGTACCAAAGTTTTTTAAACCACTCATCTACTGATGGGCACTTAGGCTGTTTCCAAATCTTATGGTGAATTGACACAATTCAATTTAAAAAATAAGTACCTGACTAGACACTTCTTCAAAAAAGTGTTTCCAGAGGATTCGGTTGGTGGGATTCCTCTGTTGTTAGTGGGAGTGGGTTTCTTATAATATCTTAATAAAATGAATTTTCTAAGACTCAAAAATATATATATTGGCAAATAGGATACAGCAGTATATTTAAAAGATCATACACCTTGAGTCCCAGCAATGACAACAACAACAACAACAACAACAAAAAATCACAGACATTCCAGAAAACTGGTATCTTAAGCCAGCCAAAGGAATGACATTTCAATTTTTCATTTTTATTTTTTTATTATTATTTTGTTAGCTTTTGTTGTTTTTGTTGTTCTCCTTTTTATGCTAGCATGTAAACATAGAGCTTGAAGTTCATTTGAACTGGGCCTGCTTAAGTCACTTGTATCAATCACTATGGAATGAGATGGCCTGCATAGTGGCCGGATTAGCTTAGCTGAAATCACGTGTTCTCCCCTCCCTGCC